TCAAATTTACTCCGATTAGCCACATATTTTTTTCCAAAATTTCATTTATTACTATATTATATTGGAGTTATTCCTTAACGTATATAGAAGCACCTCCTTTGTGTCGACTTGATGAAAATGCATGTACTTTGTTGGGGTTTTCGATGATTTCGATTTTCGAAGGACCAGTCAAACAACTAGGTTTGACAAAAACGATTTTATTCTGATAAAGATCTCGATAAAAATGGACTGTGAACGTGTGTTAACGATTTGACAAAGTTCAAGAATAATAATGACAAATAATGACAATCGGTTAATAATAACAAAAAAAGTCTTATCCATGGTTACAAAAATTCAGAAACCTAGATAAAATGTTTTTGTGGGTGCGCTCGGAATGTAACACACTTCATTATATCCCTCAATAATTGTTTCCACCTCTTCCAACTCTTCTGTGATGAGTTTCAACTAAGCAGATGACCGTAGGTTGCCTCTGATTTATTAACCAAATAAGTTCAGTTTTATGGGCTAATAAGTGACGAAAATCTATATTTGGTATATTCAAAACTTCCTTCGCATTCAGGCAGTTGTTACAAACCTCCGCCTCGCTTTTGCATTCTTCCTTTTTGTGATTTTCGCTGCATATTTGGGCATATTATTTCCTGAGACCTACATTCATGAGCCATATGACCAAATTTCCAACATTTATAACACTGTATGATATTTACATGCTCATAATAACGACACATCCAATATGCAAAACCTCCTTTCTATTCATCTCTTCAAAAGTTTTCCCATCCACCTCCAGTATAGCCACCTCTCCTCTTTTCTTATCTTAATAGGTACCTACTTAAAAGCTTCACTGTTCTGTTTTCACCAATATTTGAAATTCCATTTTGTATCATTAAACTCTCTATCAAAACTTCAGGGTCTTGTATCAGCTTTTTTTCTATATTTGTGATTTTCAACTTTGGATTTCTCTTTTTTGGTACATCAACTACATATTGCCCCTTTAGTTTCTTTTCGATACCTTCCGAAATATTTTTTATATCGTCTTTCTTTAAACAAGATATAGCAACTCCACCCTCTCGAACAAACTTCACTCTTGACACTGGCACCTATTGCCCTAGGGTCTATTTGTTCTTCAATTATTTTTTTCGTAGTATGACAATTACTTCCTCGGGTTTCTTCTTCTTTGCAACTTCGCTGTATTTTGGGATTGAAGCAGATGCATGTGATTAGGCAAATTTCTGGCAATCAGATAAATGTTGTTTAATATCTTCCATAAGTGCAACCATAGATGGAATCTTTCTTAATACCATTTTGCAATTCTCACATGAAAAAATTAACAGCCTCTTCTGTAAAGGCATGCACCTCGCTTCCGAGCTTGACAGATTAGAACATGCTTGATGTATTCTTTGATTGCAGACGTCGCACTGATAATAATCTTCACCGATTACCCTTTGGATTTCAGGCAAGTGTTCTCATTTCCATCCATTTTAGACGATGAAAATTAACTCTCTTGTGTATGATTTCAAGAAATATTTTTAAAGTATGGCTCATCAGGCTAATAAGTCCTAAACTTCACATTTTCTTGCATTGATCTTCTTAGGCAGAGGTATAAAAGTAGAGCACAATCACTGTTTGGGATAGTGAGCTGTCTCATAAGTAGAGTCAAATAATTTATGTAGTGCTGTGATGCCTCTTTCATCTAGGAGTTTAAGTATTTTTAAAAGGTTTTCATCTGGGCCAGCCGTTTTGTTATTTTTTGAATTACGTATGGCACTTTCAATCTCATCGTTAGTGATCGATGGGCCGGTTAGAGAGTTATTGATACCAGCTCCGTGTCTGTCGTCGTCAAAAAGTTCTTCAATATACCTTTTGTAAACATTGTTCTTCTCTTTGCTGTCGAGGACCATATATCTGATTGATATTATTTCCTTACTCACTTACTTACTTACTTACCCCTGGCAGTCTCCTTCAGTTTTTTGTGCAGGTTAAAGACATCATGTTGATTTTGCAGCTGCTCTATCTCTGAGCATTCACGTTTAAGCCATTCGTTCTTTGCTATTATAATCTTTGATCTTATGAGTCTTTGAATATCCTTGTACAAGTTGCTGTCTGTTCTGTTTTTGTGTTGTTCTTTGCCTTACATAGATCCTAATCTAGTTTTGCATTGAGTTTGTTGCAATGTCCATTATCTCTGTCCAGGCTTGTGTTGGCTCTTCTCCAATATTGTTTGTATTTGTTTGTTTATCTCATTGCACATCTCACATTTTATTATTGGGTCCCTCAATTTTTTTATCCCCACTCGTCGCAGTATAGTTGGGCTTTCTTTGACTTGACAGAGAGATTGTCAAGACGGCCACCAATACTACATGGTTAAAAAGCACATCTGCCCCACCAGGATATGTGACGGCTCTCTTGATGGTTTAACTGAATCTTTGGTTGATCAGGATGAAATCTATTTGGTTTCGCACTACATTGTGTGGACGGTTCGCTGGGGACTTCCAGTATAGAGTCGGCAAGAGCCACAGATAATCAAAATTTGAACTATTACCGGCTCTTGATTTTCTGGAAAACTTTCCTGAAGCCAATCAAGAGCCGGTAATAGTCAAAATTTGAACTTTTATCAACTCTGGATTCCCTAGAGAATTGTTCTAAGGGCAGTCAAGACACAAAAGCTGATAATTATCAAAATTTCGATTACTCATTAGCAGCTCTCGGGTTCATAATAATGAACATTTCTTCTTCCGCAGCTATTAATTGGCTCTTTTAGTTGAACAATTTGCCATTCATAAAATCGAGGGGGGCCTAATTGTGATATTTGCTTATGGGCCCAGTGCATCCAAGCGCCGCCACTGATTTTGGAACAATTCAGAAGTTTTAAACTCATTTTAGAACGCTCCAAAACAGAATCAATCTCCAGAAACATTTTGAAAAGCGCCAGAATCATAAAAAACGCCTTCCAAAGACTTTCAAGGGCGAATTTAGATTGCTGTAGAACTTTAGACCTTTAATAACAGTTCAAATGCAAATCTGGATTTTCAGGAGCATTTTGCAATAACTCAGAAACTTCAGAGTTATTTTAGAACAAATAGGATGCAATTTAGAACTCTTTTGAACCAATTTAGAACACTGTGGAGCTTCAATATAGATTTGATTTGTTTTTTAATTTTTACTCCTGGCTCTTTCTAATGTTTTTCCTCCAAAATGAATTTTGTGTTTGTTTTCATTTTTTATTTAAAAGAAATGAAGAATTTAAGAGCCTAGCGATTTGAATAGACAAAAATTGAAAGTTATAAAATGAGTAAAAATAAATTAATAATGAAATATTAGTCTTGAAGATGTCTTTAGGCAGACGTCTGAAAGACATTGGGTTTCGTTACATACGATGTCTTCAAGATGTCTTTAAGATGTCTGGGTAATACGTAGGTATGGTAATTAGTAGTGATGTGACGAAAAGTAGTTTGAGTAAGTTTGGGTTAGTTGAGTTCTTCCACTTTTCGAAAGGAATAGCGCGTAACGCCTCGGAACTGTTCCGGAGCTCCTCCTAGGTGTGAAAAGAATACAACTAGTTAACGCCAGAAGTTTGTATTTTCATTTTCTTATATTTTTCGAATCGAATGGATATTAATTAAATGTTTGTTTATTTCACTAAAACATCCAAACATGAAATATTCGGTAGTGAAAACTGAATATTCGGCCGAATAGACCGAATACCGATAAATTATTCGGCTTCGGTCGCAGCTCTAGTAGGTACCTAATTAGCTTATTACCGCCCTTGAGTTATTGCAAACCTCGCCTCACTTGCAAAATTCTCGCGCGTACGGTAATAATCTAGTTATCACACTTGTTCTATAAAATATGAATAATCCTTCTCATTGAAAAGCAAAATAAAAATCAAAAAAAAAAGTACAGTTTAAGAAGTCTAAGGTATGTAGGAATCTAGCGCAGCTTTAGGACTAGAGATATCCTGTCTGTGGAGATGCGATTTACATTGATTCAGCGAATGATTTATATTACACTATTGTTTGGTAAATATTCAAAGTAGTGACAAATAGATGAGAATTTGACCTAATTTTTCCATAATATTTCCTCAATAAAACTACAATTTCGATTGTTATAACACTTGTTACCTAAACCACTAGAAATGTTTGATATGTGTTAATAGCACTATTGTATTGAACCAACGACCATACTTTACACCATTTTTACACCACGGAGGATCCCCTGATTCACTTTTAATAATTTTTATTATTTATGTAGCAAGTGATGCTATTCCGGAGTGAGTGTAGTGTCGGTTCAAGTCAAGTCGGATATTGTTTAACTTTAAAAAAAAATGCTGCAATTTTTAATTTGCCTAACAATTTTATTTAAAAATTGCGTAAGTTATTACAATGTTTCTAACAACAGATATTATCAGAGTTCAACTAGTGATATTTTAACGTCACGACAACATAGGCTAATCAGTTTTAATAGTGACGGTGATATTAAGGTAAGCTCTGAGGATTCCATAGGTCAAACCTCAAAAGTTGCATTTTTCAGCTCGACTTAGATTTTAACGTACCCTTCCTTACATTACCGATAGGAAAATCAATGGACCTAGCTAAAACGTCACTTATCAATTTTAATGTGGGCTCTCTAGTGGTAGCAGGAACTATTATTTTTGGAGCTGCCATAGTCTTACCTTTTTTGCTCACTTTGTTCAAACAAAAATTACTGATACCTTCTACAAATCCTTTTAATAGGTTCTATAATAGTAAAATTGGAAGTCAAAGAAGTAAGTATAGTTTGTAAGTATAATAAAATATAGTTAAAACCTAATTATCTATTACTTACAAAGATAAGATGCTTATTATGGGAAGTTATGTATTTTACACTAAAAATACCTACTGTCTTTAAAAATCAATTTTATTTCGAAAATTACAATAGGTAGAGTGTTCTAGCCTAAAGCTTAGTTAAATGATGAATAACGTTGGTTAAAAGCACGAATACAAATATTTATAAGCTCTGGTCTGCTTCTAGGTAATTAAAAACAACTCTGCAACTTTGTCACATAACAATACGGATTGAGGTTTGTTTTCGGATTTCTGGATAATTCTTTCTTGGATGACTTCACGAAGTTGGGTACCTCTTCTTCTGTAGAGTTGCCAAATTACTGTTAGAGCGATGATGATGAGAACTAACGTGGTACAATATGGTAGCCATACTCCAGATAGCGAATGGATAGCTTCAGGTTTGATGTGCATCAGTAATTCTGATTGTTGAGATCCTTTATTTTGTCCAGATCTACGGAATTCATTTTGAGGACTGTTTTGTTCCTTATGGGTGACGTCAATGTTTCGATATTGATTGGAGGTAGAGAAAGAGGTCTTCCTTCGATTGACTCTTCCTTGTTCCACATTTGGATGGTTTCCATAATTATTACACATTTTAATGGAATTTCAATTAAGCTGGGGTTATTTATAAATGCGATTCCATTATTTTGGCAGAGCTTCTACATTTCAAGGTTCATTTCGGTTGGTATGGCCAAGGTGTATTTACTAGTGATATGTTGCACTATCGGCCTTGTTACGTTAACAGCTTGACAGTTCTGGATTTCTGCTTTCTTAATCAGAGCTACAACCAATGATTGTGGACTTAGATGATTTTGGCAGATTTGGAAGATTATCTAAGAAAGTAATTAGGTTTTGACAATCAAGAATTATTTGAGATATACTATTTTGTGCTTTTAAGCGTTTGATTAATTAGTAATTCTAAAATATTATAGGAATATTCAATAGTATCTAAGTTATCAATTAATGGTTTAATTTCTACAAAATATAGAAATGTGTGTTTGCTCTCAATTATTTTAGTGTTCCCTAAACGAAATGGAAGTTACTGAGAGGAATGATATCTGTGAATCTACTTAGCGATGTTCTGGTCATGGTCAGCATAGCTGCAAGAAGGAGTAGCTTCCTTGGGTTCATTGTCTTTATTCTGTGAAGAAGAAAATAGCTTAGGTCTTTGAATTTGTGATTTATGGACTACTTTCTTCTTTGTATGTATGCTATTGGTAGATCACTTCCAATTTGGCCTTGACTAAGTACAGCTCCAACTGCGACATTGGAGGCGTCTGTCGTTAACATAAATGGTTTCTCGAAATCTGGGTATTGTAATACTGGATCGTTGCATAGCACGTTTTTACAGGTTTCGAAGGCTTCTAGAAATTCTGTATTGTGTTCGATGGTAGCTCCTTTCTTGAGGCATTTTGTGAATGGTTTTGTCAGCTTTGCAAATACTTTAATGAATCGTCTGTAGTATCCTGACAGTCCTAAGAATGATTTTATTTCTTTTGCTTCTTTGGAAGTGGGAATTTCTAGATTGCTATTAGTTTCCTAGGATTTGGTTTAATTCCATTTTTTGTGATCACATGTCCAAGAAATTCAACTTTGTCGTGTCGCCTGAGAAATTCTGATTTGTCAAGTTGCACTTTTAACCTTGACTCCTTTAGTTTTTCAAATACTTGTTGGAAGTCTTTTATATATGTTCTCCCAGGCTGGATGGAAATATGATGATGTCATCCATATACACAAAGCATACTTTTCCTTGTAAGTCCCGTAGAATGTTGTCCATGACGCGCTGGAACGTTGCAGGTGCATTTTTTTAATCCGAAAGGCATTCTCAGATACTCATAATTCCCGATCTCTACGCTGAAGGCTGTTTTTTGGATCCTGGGGCCATCTCTATTTGGTGGAATCCCGAGGATAAATCTATGGTAGAAAAATAAGTGCATCTTCCTAACCTATCCAAAATGTCGGTAATATTTGGCAGTGGATAGCGATCGTCTATAGTTTCTTTGGTTACAGCCTCTATAGTCTACGTATATTCTTCATTTTTGTTTGCCGCCGGAATCTAATTTTTTGGGGACAATCCATATAGGACTGCTCCATGGACTTCAGCTCTGTCGGATTATTCCTTCATCTGACGTTTTGTTTATTTGCCCTTGAACCTCTTCTTTATGGAAAAATGGATACCGATATGTTTTCGAATGTACTGGTATTTCATCGGTGGTTTTTATGAGGTATGTTTTATTTTATTTGTAATAGTTAATTTTTCTCCTTCCTGGTGAAAAATGTCTGAGAATCTTTGTGAAAATCTGGTAAAGTCCAGACCTGTAGGGGTTCTATAAACTGTAATGTTATAGGATTGTCAGTATAGTTGTAGATTTCCGTTTGTGTATATCCGTTTCTTGCCGTAGTAAGCGTTTCGGGAAAATAAAGATGATCTATGATGCTCTTAGGTATAATGATATCTACATTATTTTGTGAGACTGGTACGTTCGTGGTAATGACCTCCTGAGCGTTCAATATGATGCTGTGTATTTCTTTATTTGGTTCTCTGCAAATGATGGGTATAGTCACATTTTCGCTGACAATTTTTTTATTCATTAAGTCAATTACGATAATAAATCTTAATAATTCATTTAGTCCAATAATGCCATCACCATCAAAATAATGGTAAAAATCAAAGAGTTTAAAAGTTATATCGGCGTCGTTTCTGAATTCAGGGAAAGTGGGAACTTTGGTTTTGAAAAGAGTTTGCTTTTCACCTATACCTGTTTTTATTTTCGTAGGATAATTATAAACTTTCTCCGGAAAATATTCTTCTGCAATAGATGGTGGCAGTGTCGATTAAAAGTCTAAAAGGTGGATTTTGTATCGTAATATATGGCAAGCTGTTGTTTATTCCCGTATGCATATCAAATGTCAGTTCCCAGAGATCGTTGGGTTATGGCTATCTGAAAATGTTCAGTGTTTTCTGGCTCCTCATAGAATTGCCGAGCATTTTCATAAGAATTTAGGTAATATGCGTCAGGCATATTATAATATTGGGAATAATCTCCATAAAATGAGTTAAAGTATTGAGATTGATATTGATCAGCGAGATTTATGGCTTGATATTCTTCAGGAAGGCCTTCTGTAGGTATTGATATGATTCTTGAAGTATCAGTATCAGTGGTTTCAACCGGCTGTTCCGCTGTTCTGTTTGGGTTTCATCAATTTGGTACAATTCTTGCGAAACGAAGTTTCGAGGACCCGATCCGATGACTTGAAGAATTGATTACCTTGCATATTCTGATTTGGTAAAGTAGGTCTATCGAGATCTTGTGGACATTGTTTCCGGTTTATTTGTGGGTACCTGTCCTGTTGGTGTCCATTTGGTGTGCCATATCGGTGTTTGATGTTGGGTTTTATTACTCATAGGCTGTGTTTGCAAGGTGGGAGTTTTATTATAGATATTTTGCATATAGTTAAAATTGTCTTCTTCGTTCACTTGAGTCATGATGGCTGTTTCGATGCAATCAGGATTTTTGAGTCTGATGATTACTTTGTAAGATGTCCGGGTAAGCCTCTAATAAATGTACGTAAGCACACTTGATCATAATCAGGTCTATGATGTATCCGGTCCTGTTATTTTAACGGCTGTGTTATGGCTCAATATCTGTTGCTGTCTTTATTTTGACGTATAGAATAAACAGTGACAGATAACTAAACGTCGCTGTTAAAATAACAGAGAATGATACATCATAGGCCTGATTGTCTCAAGTAGAATATTTTAGTGACTGCATCCATATATGAGTGTCAGGAAAAGTGTTAATTTTTTGAGCTAAAGCACTACGTAATACTTGTAATCTTTTAGCAAAATCTAATGGATTTTAATTATTTTTATTTGGTACTGCCATAAACAGATCTTGTTCTAGGCATTCCAAATTTCTTTTGTCACCGAAGCAAGCAAATAAAGCAGCTTAAATATGATCCCAACAATCGAGTTCCATTCTGCCTCCTACTAATATTTGAGCACGATCTGTTAATTTCTTTCTAACAACTCTTAAGTGATAGTTCTTTAAAATTGGATCATTTGATTGATTGTAGGTAGCAAAAAGAAGTCATATAGGCTGATTGAAAACTGTTTAGCATACTAGGATCACCAATAAACGGCATAGTGGTGTCTATATACATTTTTAATAAAGTGTTAACAGTTGTGGGTGCTGGTGAGTTTGGCATCGTGTTATTGAAGATTTTAATTGAGAAAAATGATCTAACTAAATCTTCGATTCCACCATCGTTACTCTCGATCATCAAAATTTAAGATACTTATTTATCATACACTTACAACTGAATAATTACTTGTTATAGAATAGAAATTGATATACGAATAAATTTGAAAATTGAGAAAATAATAATATTAGTACTTAACTTATTTGAAATTTTCACGATTCCTAACCAGGGAATATGAAAGTTGGGAAACAGGAATAATTGGAAACTTATCTTTTGGTTGTCAGTCTAATATTCCTGGTACCTACGTTGATTCTCCACTAACCATTCGTTGATTTCCGAAAATCATCCGTTGCGTAGCCCTCTGATAAAGTCAATTTTTCTGGGTGCACACACGTGATAGTTAATTGATTTTAGTGTTCGTTTTCGGTGCCAAAGAGTTGCACTCACGTTTTTCGCGATCGTTTCGATAACGAGCTTTTCGATCGTAAAACTGCCCTGAATCCTACCGACTGCGCCAGTTATCTATTACCTACTGTTTTTAAAAATCAATTTTATTTCGAAAATTACGATAGAGTGTTCTAGCCTAAAGTTTAATTGAATCAAGAATAACGTTAAAAATATGAATACAAATATTTATAAGCTCTTGTTTGCTGAGTCTGCTTCTAGGTAATTAAAAACAACTCTGCAACTTTGTTCACATAACTGGGATAAACATTTCAAGTGAATTTCGCTAGAAAACTCGCAATGATTTTTGTATTCGTCTACCTATACCTATCATCAATAAGCAATCTTATTTCAAATTAAACTTCAAAATTACCCTGTAATAACAAAATAAGTATATCTACTGTAAACCGAACCCAACTTATAAAACTATCACCATTGTATTTTTCCTATACTGCTAAAATATGATTAATGCCTATATACCGGGTGTAGTTTACACGCCTATTTTAAGTGATTCGCAAGTTGTAAAAAAAACGAGCCAGTATGTCACCATGTAAGAAAAAAAAAGGCAAACGTAACGATGATTCTTATAGCAGTCTTCGGACAGTTCAAGTTCAAGTTCTAGTTCGAGTTCAAGTAACTTGTCTAGCGATTCGCAGCCTAGAATTTCGGGAAAAACAATTACGAAATCGCAATAAAAAACAGGAACGGGAAGTTAAAAAACTTAAATCTAGACTACATTCTAGGTTAAACTGTTATCAAGGTAAAATTGATAGTGTGTCGACGTTTAGTGGTCGAGTAGAAGACAGTGAAACAGTGGTTAGGTAAGTACATACTGTAGTGACGCGGAAATAAACCACCAAGAAAACAATTAAAGGTTCTGATTATTCTAAACAACTAAAGACATAGGATCTAACTACCGAAAAATAATCAAGAATAACAAGGACTTACCAAATAACTATCCCAGGAGAGATCATCACTTAGACAGCACAACCAGAAACTTCAATTAAAAACTATCTGAACATCGATATCCAGAAATTATTGAAAGCCGATACTCTATAGCTATTGACTAATACATTGGAATGTGACTAAAGCAAAAGTTCATGGACCTTTTTTTAAGTGCTTTCAACAATTAACATTCCAAAGGGCCAAAAAAATTCTAAAAGGATCAATAAATCATGCACGAGCCTATATGATGATACCCACGTAACAAACCACTTAGCGACGCCCTTGAT